TGAACAGGTTTGAAATTGGTCAACTCCTGTAATCTTTGCCCAAGTAAATCTCAAAAGCAAGTTAACGGTCTTTGGGGGTAACCGAGGTTGGAACATGACTTACTGAAAAGTTATACACTGAATAAAACTCCATAGATCAAGTTCTGAGTGGGTGTTCTTTTATTTTAGACCAAATTTTCCTTCAGAAAAATGAGAGTCAGTGGACCAGATGACACACCCTACTAAAGGATGCTCTAATAATAAATTGGAGACTAGCCAGTAGTTCTGACGATGGCAATCTAAGGAGATCAGAATTTCAAGGTGGAGACTAGGTTTTGTGCCAGATTTTACCTTTTTAATAATAATTTAAAAAAGAAAAAAAGATTATTCTTGCAGTCCTTGCTGCAATTATACCTCTAACTTTCACATACTATGAAATCTAGATTTAAACCATCCCACAAACGATGGATACATAGGTATTCTACTCACAGAAGGTGCTCGTCATCATACAGATTGTTCAATACCTGCAAGTTGCATATCTAGACTGCATTTCAGGAATGGGAGAAAATACAGAGAAAACCCCAAAGCTTCAGTGAAATACCAATATTTGAATTAAAAATTAAGCATATATACTGCATATGTGCATTTAAGCTTGGGGGCTCTTCTAGCTGCCTATTTTTTCTATTTTCTTGAAGCTCGATGGCAATGAATGAATCAATGTAACAGAAAGGCAGAGATAAATCTAATTTCAAATTCTAATGTTTAAAGATATTTTTGTCATGCCATTCATGTCATAGCCTGCCTATCCCACTAAGATGTCATCTTCTGATGTGCAGCTAACGCAAGTCAAGATTTAAGTTTGTTGGGATGCCTGTTGGCTTTGTTGGCAGGGCAGGGAAAATGCGGAGGCAGAGAGGGAAGAACAATGCTTTCAGGCATAGATATTAGCACCAAGAATGATTTAACAGAAGAGGAAATTTGATTTATGGTAGAAATTTTCATCTCAATAAATTCCATTTATGTGTTGTACATTGAACAATGTAGTCAGTTTGGCTTAAGTCTCTAGATGGGCACAGGTGTCTAATTGCTTAGCACGTGGGATAATAATCATGCTTGCTACCGTATTACCTGCTTGTAATTAATTTAGGAGTGCTGTGCTTTTTTTGAAAAAAATCTTTTAGCTCTTAGCTGTTTCATTTCTCTGCCTTAGCTGCATTTCTCAGCAATGGCTGGCTATCTGGATCTAAAATAACAAAAAACCATAGAGATCTTCTCTCACCCGAAGCCTCACGAGGGACAGAAAAAATAGCTCCCAGAAAAAAGCACACCCACTTTTAAACGTGTTTGTTTATAGTATTTAATTTTCTATATAGCTTGCCTTATACTTTCATCTCCAGCACCTTGTCTTTATTTCTAAGTTGACCTGTTATTTAACTGTTTCCACAGGAAATCTCATGTCCTGTATGTATTAGTGTTTCAAGTGCAAATTAGCTGCCTTGTTACAGCCTTCTGACCACAAACTCCTTGTATCTAGGCTGGTAAAAAAAAACCCCTTTTGTTATGAAGACAGAAACGAACACCCTTCCAGCTGGTAATCCCTTGAATACATTCCTTGCTCTCAATGATAGAATAGAAACATCACAAGACAGAATCATATATTATGAAACAAAGCCAAGCCAAACAAGCACAGATTTGTCCCTCTGAGTCCTAGTAGTGTAGATGAGTGAGGAGTTTGCCAGTGAGAATGTAATCAATGGATTCAGCAGAGTCTGGCTTTATACTATTTATATCCAAACCAGGTTAGCTGTGATAATTGGCCATAAAAGTTAAATTTTGGATTAGCTACATCTGAATGAGGTTGAAGGCAGTGACTTAGTCTGAAGACAGAAGACAAAAAAATAAAATGGGAAAAGGGCTTGTAGGAAAAAAGGTATTAAAATTGTTGTTAACTTACCATCATCTCCTAGCCTGACTTTCTGTTCCGGCTTTGGCTACAAGGAAGAGAGAAGTCAGTAGCACAGTATGTGCTAAGATATGTCATTGTAGGTCATGAGGAAAATAAAGGAAAGAAATTTAAATCCACCAGCACTTACATTTCTGCAGTATCCTGTATGATCTTTTTTTCCTGAGGTATTAGAATCATCTGATCAATTTTCCCCAAAAGAAACTATCAACCATTGTATAATCATGACCCAATTAAAACCTTTCTTCTACTTTTTGTCATTCTGTGGGTGAATTAGTCTAAATAACAAGGAGTTTTTATTCCTCTTAGAAAGTGAAAGCATATAAATGTTTTTCTGTTGTAAAAAAAGCTGTCACACACCCCTCTGCCAAAAAAAACCCCAACAAACAAAAAACCCATATCAAAAAGGACATTTTAGCCTGAATGTTATTCTTTGCTTTCCATTTCACTGTGTATTTCAATCTCAATTAATCACTTGGCTTCCAAATGTAAAGCCTGTCCAGCTCTTTCCAATATAATATTTAATATTCTGCCTTTCTACATCATCTTCTTAAGAATACAGATTGTTCTCACCATTCATTTTCTGCACATTTGCAAATACAGTTGCACAGATTGGGAGCCTTATGCTTCTTTTCGTGGCCTTTAATCTCTTCTTTTAAAACTTTTAAATTTCTCTAGTCTCTTTGATCACAAATGCAATAAACCCATCCTCCCTACAGGTTTTAAGAAAATCCCAGATTATGTGGCTGGGAGAGGCAATAAGAGAAAGAGCTAAGAAAGAAATCAGTCTTGTTCTCTAATGACTTCTTATTTTCTACTGCTGATAGAATGAGAAGATTAAATCTCTATCTGCAAATCTTGTGAGGACAGTTTAAGAAGGGGAAAAGCATAAATGATTAGACAACAACTTCTGCCAGCAAAGGGAAACAAGAATGTCATTCAACAAACTTCTGGAATGGAGGAAAGGGTCAGAGATAGCCTAAGCAGCAAATAAGGTATAGATGAAATGGTTGAAAAATTCCTCCCAGTTTTGACAGATTGGCAAAGGCATCTGTCATCCCCACTTCTGTCAAAGCATTTTAAAGAGAGAAAAAAGAATTTTAAACTATGTTACTTAGAGGTGCAATATGTGGATCAAGCCTGTGACAAGAGTAGGGCAGATTTCTCCAGATAAGATATTGGGTAATAGTCCCAATTTAGGTCCTTGCAAATGTGCAGAGATATGCATGTGCTTAAATTTATTAGGCTTGTACTTAAACCATATACTGATTCAGAGCCTCGCCTGACCTGGTAATGTCCATTTAGGAGAAATGTCCATTATTTTATTTAAAGCTCAGAGATTATGGTGAAATGCATCTTGCTCCAGAAATAGTTCAACTGATTTCATCAAGGCACTGCCCTGTATATCTGAATTTATTTAGGAAAAAAGCAAGCGAGGAAGCTTACAAAATGCAACCTATGTTATAGATATAAAACATAACAGTTACTTTAAAAAAAATGTACACCAATTCTAAGAAAGAGCACTACAGGGGAAGGACCGTTCAGCTCAAATTTATTCAAATAATCAACATAAATTTTTGCAAAGCAACGACTGGACAAGGAAAACAAGCTCACAAAATAAAAACAGGCTGGCATTTCCCTTTGTTCTGATCTTCTGCACTTTCAGACATGTTGACATACTATCTCCAGTTCCATAAGTATTCAGTGTTATTCCAGTACTGTTAACTCCCAAGACAAGTTAAAACTGTAGAGTCAAACTTCAGGTTTTCATTTATTTGAATTAGGATTTCCTGAGCAATATTTTTCTTACCAGCTGGTGTACTTGTTCACTGTAGTCCATTGCCCACTTTGAATGCTTTAAATGGGCAGCTGCATTTCTTTTAGAAATAATAAAGTAGCATTTTTGTTACTGAATAGTTGCTGGTGTTTTGTATTTTTAACTGTTCCTCTAGGATTAAATGAAATTAAATTTACAGAGCATTCACTACATTTATTAGAAAAAAAAAAAAATGCTTCCTGGAAATCTTAGCTATAGAACATTGCGCCACAAAGGAAAAAACACATCGTTAGTTTGTTACTGATCTTCACGGTGGATGCACAACTTCCCCAAATTTTATGGCAATAAATCCTGATAGCCTCTTAACAAGTCATGATTTCCAAGTCCCAGAATCCTGAGTAGAAATTTATTGTAGACATAGCATAAGTCACGTGCACGTGGGTCACTAAGATGCCTAAATAATTAAATTATGGGCACAGGCCCAGAAGTATACTATGCTGCAGATGCAAATGACCTGCGTTTTCAAAATATACCCATCATTTGCTTTGCACAGAACAAGAAACTTGGTGTTCAAACCCAGGTTCGAAAGGATTGAAATGAAAACAAGCTCCGTGTGTGCGCAGATGGATAGTGGAAGTTTCCCGATTCCACTGAGGGCAGCTCAATCAAAATTTTGATTCATAGTATAACAGCAACTTAGCCGGACTCGTTCACACAGAACACCTGTGTTTCATTATCGTCCCTAGAGAATTGCCCCTAGGAACACCCAGAGTCTAGAAAGCCAGGTTGTTCACACCGTGATGGAATCTAGTTCAAAGATTAGAGAACGCAGTAAAACTAATCCTAGTTACTGACTTTACTGTTTGTGACTGGAGTCTCCATTCCAGAAAGTGCAAGGAAGGACAGTGGTGTAAGCAGTAAGTGCTGAGCACAATTATATTTATTTTTATAATTAACAGTCCACCGTCTCTTCATCTGACATAGCAGATTGTTCCCAAAAAAAGTCTGCGGCGTAATTCATTCAAGCTGTTGTTAATCTTGCTTAGGAACACCTTGCTTATGTATGATCTTGAGAACACCCATTTTCTTCCCTTTGATGGCTGCAGTAGCCCAGAGAATGTGACTGTGTCCCTGCAAAAACTTACATCAGAAGCTGTTCGGGCACAAGCCTGAAACACATTGTGTTGCACAAGTCATTGAAATTGCTTGTAACCGTCGTTCCAGGTGGATTTTGTAAGGGTGTTGTTGTGTTACAGTGTTGAATTTCTTTAACTCTTGCAGATTTTTGACAAAGAAGCTAAAGATCTGGAGCGAGAAGTCTGCTTTATTGATATTGCCAGCGATGAAATCCCTGAGCGCTATTACAAAGAATCAGAGGTAAGAGAGAACTTGACTGTGAAACAGTGAAGAAGGGAAGTAAGAGGCTGTAGGAAAGCCCTTGATAGGGATCAAAACAATCTTATTTTTGTATGAAATCTCGCTGGTCAGTAGTATTTAAAATGCTTTCGGTTAGAGGAGAAGCAGATAGCGACCTCACTATCGAGATTGCCTGACGCTTTCTTTTACAGATGATTCCTCGAACCTTTTGAGATACTTCCGTACCCTCATCAGAACATATGGACCTTTAGCTGAACTCATTCAAAGTAGAAAATGACTTTTCTCTGAATCATGAAGCTCCGTTAAGTGTTTGCAGGTCTGAGCATTTTTAAACATTATTGCTGTCCTTATTTGCATCCTGCTCTGAGTAGTAAGTCATGCAGAGTGCCCGGGCAGAGGACAGATACGCTGCAGGGACAGTAGGGCTGATGCACAGTTGCTCGGGGGCAACCATGACACAAGCCCAAGAGGGACTGAAGAAAACTGCATACTGCAGTAAATCTGCCAGAAAGCATCAGTGGCAGCAGACACATTCACTCCCTTAAAATCCCCTTGAAAATTGCTCCCATGTATATTTGATAGTGCACATCTCTGAAGGGCATGTTTCTTTTAGGTCAGTGCAATTCACTATTTTGAAATCAGCAACCACCATGCAAGTGAAGATGAGGTCTCAACGTTTTAACCTCAGACTTGAAAAATGATGGTTCACGACAAGTAGCTAGAGAGGAATGATCAGATCTCTGCTTGCATTTAATTTTGGAGATATGATTTGCCTCTGGAGCCAAGTATATATTCATAGCTGGCAGTGGGTATGGCAGCTGTTTGACTATACAAAACGAGACTACATAATCATTTTTAGGATAGAAAATGAAGACTTGCCGATGAATATATTTCTATACCATAGGAGACATGATTTTCAGACTAAAAAAGTCAGGTACTTGTTATCTTCCATTTATAGATCCTATTTCAAATTTTATGTACGGGTCATAAACCAAAATTGAGTCTACAGCAGAATGAAAAGTGATTTTATTAGTTTCCTTAGATAATGAAACCCATCTGTTTAGTACCAAAAATGATATAACACCTCATGAAACAGCATATTGGTCCCATCATCTTATCTGAACTCCACGGTCTTCTGGTTCCATTTAGGAATTCCTGCTGCTATTGAACAGGTCAGTCTTTGACTGTGTCTTAAATAAATCATATAAGATTTTTCATCACAGTGTGTGCAGTTCCAGAAATTGTAAACATGAAGGTACCATCGAGCTTTTCAGCTTTCTTTCCCATCTTTAATAGTCAACTATTAAGCATAATTAATAATGATTAGTAATGATTAATAAGCATGATTAATCTTATGATATAGAAAACCAACCTCACGTTAAGTGAGAAGAGAATCTGAGTCTTTGCTATTTCAAAGACGAATATCTAGCGACCTGATTCCACGCAAAATGGAATTTTATATGGGTTTAAACAACAAAAATAGCCCAGCATCTGTTGTTTTTTCTGTACTGAGGGATGATTTGTATATTGGCTACCAAATACTGTTTCCAAATTCATACAAAATAGTAAGAACACCGTAGCATTTAATTGTGCACATACTGTAATGGATACTGAATTAATAATAGTTTAATTCAGTATCTTCCAAAGTTTACAAACTATGGGGGTTTTATGCTACCATATGATGAACGTGAAGCCAGACTCCCATTTCTGATGAGGTCTCTTACATAATTTAGGGACTATAAAAAGATTTTTAATGTTTGTAAATGTAACTTCCGTCTCTTTTCAATCAGAACACCATAAAAAAGTAACTCTGTGTAAATGAGGAACGGTCCGTGTTTTCCAAATAACTAAAAACCATTTACTGTAAGCTTTTGAAAGGTATTTTAGTTTCACTAATAACAATTTGGCTGCTTTTAGATCATTTAATCTGAATTGATACTATGTTTAAAGATTAAAAGTGAAGTACAAATCCTCAGGATTTGAGAATTAGTGTTCTGACTCCCATCCAGAAAGACTAATGAGAATGATTTTAACTTGAGGCATGTTAGCAATCTCTTCATTTCACTGTATCTTTCACATGCTTAAAATTAAGCAAGTTCTGTATCAGGGTCAGCATAATTAGCAGCTTCTAGAAATGAGCTTTAAATTTCTTTTATATCCTAATGAAAGCGTATCCCTCTTCAATTAAAAATATACTTCAGTTTTTAACAGCAAATTTCATGATTTAGATGTATTACTGTATATTAGAGAGGTAGCTTAAATAATTTACATCTTTCACACACTACTTCAGCTGTTTGCTCTTTGTTAGTGCTTATGAGCCTGCTTGTAGATGGGTGATTTCTGATACCACAGAAGGGTTTGGGGTGGAAGGGACCTTAAAGATCACCTAGTCCCACCCCCCTGCCCCGGGCAGGGCCACCTTCCACCAGCCCAGGTTGCCCAAAGCCCCGTCCAACCCGGCCTTGAACCCTGCCAGGGAGGGGGCAGCCACAGCTTCTCTGGGCAGCCTGTGCCAGGGCCTCACCCCCCTCACAGGGAGGAATTTCTGCCTTAGATCTCATCTAAACCTGTTCCCCCTCATCCCATCCCCACACCCCCTGATCCAGAGTCCCTCTCCCTTTCCCGCAGCCCCTTTCAGCCCTGGGGGGCCGCTCTAAGGTCTCCCCAGAGCCCTCTCTTCTCCAGCTGAACCTCCCAACTCTCAGCCTGTCCTCACAGGGGGGGGCTCCAGCCCCCTGAGCATCTTTGTGGCCTCCTCTGGACCCGCTCCAACAGGTTCTTGTCTGTCTTACACTGGGGGCCCCAGAGCTGGACACAGCACTGCAGGGGGGTCTCACGAGAGCAGAGGGGGAGAATCCCCCCCCTCGCCCTGCTGCCCGCACTGCTCTGGGTGCAGCCCAGGACACTCTTCCCTTACCCACCAACGCTGTAACCCTATCATAGAAGTCCTCCAAGTCTGTCAGGAGCCATTTGCCCTTAATAGACCCATGTTGGCTGTCACCAACAACCTCCTTATTTTCCATGTGCCCCAACAGAGTTTCCAGGTCGATCTGCTCCATGACCTTGCTGGGCACAGAGGTGAGACTGACTGTAGTTCCCTGGGTCTTCCTTTTTTCCCTTTTTCAAAATGGGGGTTATGTTTCCCCTTTGCCAAGGCAGCTTCAGTGGGTTGCCACAACTTCTCAAGTATGACGGATAGTGGCTGAGCCACTTCACCCACCAGTTCCCTCAGGACCTGCAGATGCATCTCATCAGGTCCCATGGACTTGTGCAGCTTTGGGTTCTTTAGATGGTCTGAACCTGATCTTCTCCTACAGTGGACATATGATCAGACAGCACTAATTACATAGTTGCTATTAAGCTCGTATTTGTGATTTCCATTATTTTTAGCTTTAAAGTGCACCGTTATCCTTTATAAGCTGTTTTGGGTGAATATAAGTTTTTCAGAGCCCTCTGTCTGAAAAGCCCTTTTCTACAACTGACTGCAACCTTTGAGTTAGTGCATCAAATAACTCCTTGATTACAACAGAATGAACCACAGCAGCTTTAGTGTTGTTTTTCTCTTTTTTATATAACCACAAGATATGGCTGTGTATATGTTACACCGGTATCATCAATAGAGGTAATAATATTGCAGTTACCACAGGAGGGTTCAGGAGATATCCAGGGGACCCACGGCAGCAGGCTCAGCACAAACAAGTGAAGCAACCGTTCCATGCTCTCGAGCACCTATGATCGTTATTTTTCAGTTGCTCTCACATTAATCTTATAAACAGATCTATATTCTTCCTTTTATTATAACTTACATAGTAATGATTCACACATAAAAAGACATCTTCATAAAGAAAAAAAAAACATCTTTATATGTATAGTATTCCATTTGAATTGCGTAGCTCATTTTGACTTGTGCTGGTACTGATGAGAGAGAAGTGTTCCATGAAAATGTCGTGACAGTTGAAGGGAAAATGATTGAATTTAACTTTGTGCATATCTGCTTTTTGTCTCCTTCTAAATGTTAACTCAAATTGAAAAGTAAAAAGATATGGTTAGCTGGAGACTTAAGGAGAGCTGTTGTTTCATTGAGGGACAATTTAAAGGAACCTCTGCTGATAATCTCTTGACCAGAATTATCCAAGTGATTTGAATTATCTTAAGACTGGGGGGCTTCTCTGTCAGTGTGTGCACAAAAGGACTTAAATCAACAAGTAAATAGTGACTCAGAAGGCAGTTCTGTTAGCTATTAAAAACACATACACAGAGCCCAGTTGTCTTCCCTGGAGATATACTGATTTCTGCTGTCAAAAATGTTCTTGTAGCAGACTGGAGGAGGTATAACTGCAGCAATTCTGGGTATCCCAAAGCAGGTGACTTAATTTTAACTTAAAGACCATCTACAAACTTCGTTGTGAAGTAACCACCAGAATACTTAGCCGTGCTGCCACATCATAAATAAAGCCTTTTTTTTTTTACAAGCATGGACCTAAAAATCCTTAAACTTTTAAGAAGTTTAAATGTGAGCTTCCAGATTGAGAAAGCTTGAATTTAGATCCAAGCTAACAGGTTTGCCTGTTTTTCTGTAAGTAGTCACATATGTTTCCAAATCTGAATGTACATATTACATTGAATACAGAATTTTATATTTCTGTATAAAGACTGTACAAGCCTGCAGGTAAGAGTAGTTGTATATTTGTAGTCATTTCCTTGTGACTTTACCACCAATGAATATGTATCACCAGCCACCATGTATTCCCCATATAGACATACATATTTATCTGAATTATAGAAAAGAATAAAACTGAGCTATGCTGAAGAGTGAGGGCCTCAAGTGAATCATTCTCTGAAATGAAACATTTGCTGTGGATGTGAGCTACTGAGCACAATGTTCTTTGCGACCGTATTCAAGTTCACAGAATTGACAGTGTTTCATTTCCTGTTTATAACAAAGCAGTTGAGAGTTGGACAAATGGAATAAACTCTTTAAGGTACCTCCAAACAGAAAG